CGCTCTTCACTGAAAGCCCCGATAAAAGAAAACAGCAACTACTGCATGCAGTCGACAATACCAAACCTGGGCACCAAAATCCGTATTCAGTCTATCACGTAAATGGACCCAGTTTCGGTTTGCTAAAAGCAATTATGTATTTGTTATTGACACACTAATTTAATCACCAAGATGTGTACAATGAACAGGGAAAAATTATCTGGCTTTCAATATTCAGCATCCCTGGAGGTCACTCAAAACTGTTTGCCCCATTATTTGTGAATACATTCATGCAAATACCAAATGAACAAATCAGTGGAGATAATGACACAATAGCTACTTTGAGTCTCTACATTGAACTGTGAAGGAAACTCAGCTAGACAAGGGAATGTTCGAAGGGGATCCCACTGCAAGCTGCCTAAATGGATCCATGAGAACTGTCAAGATTACTACATGCCTAGCGCTATATACACAAGCATTTTACTGTCTTATATGGGATTGTGCTTCAGCCAGCAAGACAGGTTCCAGAGCAAAGCGCTTTGTGGCATAGCAGCTTTGGATTTTGGCTCCTGACAGACAACATTCACTGGCAGATACCAGCTATTATTCACTGCTGCTGTTCTGTAAATACCGTACATGCATGCTTGAAAACAAGGGAGTTAGGTGACAAAGTGCAGTGCAGAAGCCCTCAGTGATGAAAGATTTTAAGTGGTAATTGAGTACGGTGAGCAGTTAGCTCCTGGCAGTGATTTAAGTGACCTTCCTCCTCCGAAAGAGCTCCGGATTTAAGCTCATTGCAGAGAGGAGTCACAAAAATCTTCAACTCAGAAAGTCAGTGGAAAGTTAACAGTGTTGTTCCGTATGCATACCCATGTATATGTGCAACTACATGCACATATTACCTGGTATGCATATGTATATACATATATTCCTTTTGTACTGATTAAATCAAAATGAGATGTAAGTTTCTAAAGCTAAGATGCGGTGAGCATGAAAAGAACAAATCTTTTCGAAATGGGAAATAACATGAATTAAATTATTATCTCCTGCACTGTGGCTTCTAAACTCTTCATTGTACATGTTAGGCAAACCCAGACGCTTCTGTTGAATAAACATAGATGGAGATTGTAAGTCTATTGTCAGCAAATCAGTCTCGGTGAGAAACAGTTTGTAATGCCATCAGCTGCTAGTGGCTGCTACTTTGGTGGTATAAATGCAGTGGGACAGGTTTGGGATAGGATGTCAGGCTTAGTGTGGCTCTTCCTTGCTCTGACAGTGTTTCATACCTTGGTCTAGGTGGATAAATGCTTGTTTCGTACTTTGGTTAGGAACAGGTGAGCATGTCTAGTTTCAGTCCTCATGCATACTGTGGCCTTCAAAGTTAATTTCTGCCTCTCTGATTCCCCTTTAGAGAAACATAACGGGACCTTAGGACAAAAAAAGTGGTGACTAGGAAAAAGGTCAGCCCTCAAGAAGGAGGGGGGGAAGCAGCGGGAAGCAGCTGGAAGCAGGGACACTTCTGATTTGTGGGTACCTAAGCTCGGATTCTTCCAAGGGGGCTCATTTGCTGACAACTCAGGGCACCTGTCTTCTCAAGAACAGACCTTGTTAAAGTACGTGCCTGTGCTGAGCAACAGGGCACAATGCAGGGACCCCAGACTAGCACTGAACGGCCAAGTCCCAGCAGCAGAAACAGCACAGGAAGCCCCCACAGCACTGCCTGCTGAGCTACACGGCCTGCTGCGGAGCAAGGTCAGCTAGCCCCTGCCCCTGGTCCCATTAACACAGTCATCCTCACCCTTGATTCCAGGTGGTATCACTGCACAGCACTGTCCCAGACTGGAGAGACTTGTTCTCAGCCCAAGTACCACTATGGAGGTATACAGAATGACTAGCTGGTCTTGAAAATCTGCATTGTGGCATTATATTATCCCTTTCTAGTAGCCAAGCTGCTGGTAGGTTTGTGTGCCTCTAACACACAGTTCAGGCTGCCCTCTACCTAGAGAAAAAAAATTTAAAAAAACTGTTAAAAGATACATAGAGAAAAAAGTTATTAGAAAGTTAAAATATCTTTGAGATGAACACACAGGTACTTTTTTGTCTACACCAAAAAGAAGCCTGAGAAAAGTTCGAAAAGTCTGCATCTCCGCAAAACTCACTTGTACCTAGTTGAGACATATGGAAGAAATGATGGGCCAAGGAAAATTGATGTAAAGACTGTTTAGACCGAGCACCTGACTTTTACATGGCAAAAACCGAGGTGAGATGGTTTATAAATGCCTGATCCTGAACTCACTGCGATGATAAGTGAAGCTCACAAGCCATTTTGAATCCTTTAGACAGTGCAAACTGGCACGCTACACCGAAGGCTGGCAAGCACGATGTCCCCTTTGGTCTCCCGGACAGCCCAGAGCTGTCTGGGTTTGCAGATCCCTGAGCTACCAACCCCTTTCAGCATCTGCATAAGCCAGGGCAGCTGTACAGAAAATCAAATTGAACCTAGGTGATTCAAAGCCTCCTGAAATTGCTACTTTCCTCTTTATTTATTTTTCTAGAGAGCAGGGGACGGGGAAGCTGCAAATATGGTTAAATTGCTAAATAGCTGTTGCTGCTTTGTTTCCAAGGCGGTTTCTCAGTTACCAAAGCACACGTGGTGCTAAGGAGTAATGGGCAGATCTCTGTGAAAGCTGAGTGTGTTTGCTGACAGGCTACATTTCTAAGGCTTGTGGCAACCCTAGAACTTAATTTAACACTCTTTTTAAACACAGCTTTTTTTCATTTTCTCTGAAATGATTAATCTTGAGGATTAGCATGAACCAGCAAACAGACATTGGAAGAGAGCTCAGGACATCTGAATTCCATTTCTTGCTTTATTTGCTGCATGATTCCCCTGAAAATCACTTTAAATCTCTCCCCCCTTGCTTGCCTAGACAGCAAAGTGCTGAAGGCAAGGGCTGCTTCTTCCTTTGGATGAAATCTGGCCCGACTGAAATCAATAGCAAAATGTCCACAGGATGCAACTCTAGCACCACTCAAGGCAGTGGCAAAATTCCTGCTTACTTCGGTTGGGGCTGAATTTCACCCTATGCATTTCCACAGCCTATCATTTAACGGGGCCTTTATCTCAGCTGGCGAGTGAGATGCCACTGTCATACAAATAATGGTATTTATAAAATACCGCACACGCACAGGGTGGTTTGCAATGTGTGGAACGTGACAAAGAACAGAGCTTCTGCCCAGGAAAGCTTACAGCAGCAAGGCACAAATGGATAAATTGTAGGAGAAAATAATAGCGACAGGTACCATCTAGGCAAAAGAAGAGCAGCATGTGGTAATTGGAGCTGGAACGCTTCATGGAGCAGCTGTTTTTCAGGAGCTCTCCGAAGGAGGAAAAGCAAGGCTTGGCAAACCTAGAGCGGCTATTCCAAGCGTGTGGGTGGTAAATAAACTGTCTGAGGCTGCATACGGTGGGGTTTAGCTTTGAGTGAAATATTGCAGGCATTGTGGTAACTATTAACAATAAGGATTTTTAATGAAAATCTTGACAGACTTTTAATGATGCATCTGCTCCAGGGGGTTGTAATAAAAGGTGAAGCTCTTAACATTTTGTTCTGTCCTGTCTGCTCTGCGCTGCCAGCTTTCACCCTGACAGATTGAACTTTAGCTCTTCGATTCTCAGACTGAAATGTTGCCAGGATGATATTGTCTCTGTTCCTCAAACATTTACTGTGTGTTTTTCAAATAACATGCCATGGCCAAAGGCAAATAGCATGCATTTCGCTTCATCCTTTCTAGCACCTCAGACCTCATTGCAATGAGCAGCAAGAAGCCTCTTTACTGCTGGGCTCATAACTGTCTCCTCTCTTATCAGGGGACACTTGAACTGGCTTCAGCTGGACCGCAGAGTGCTGGAACATGACTTCCCCAAAAAGTCAGGACCGGTTGTTTTGTACTTTTGTGTCAGGTAAGTGAATGAAAGCAAGCCACTCCCGTGGGATACACCTACAAATGACCCGTTCCCTCGAGTTCAGGAAACTAGGTTGTCCAGTCATAGAAATGCCTGTAGACAAACTAACACTTTTACGGCTGTTCCTTTTGAGTTCTTCGGCTTTGAAAACTCCTCTCACACACGTGTAAATTAGTCATAGCCACAGGAACACCCATAGCTGCACAGAGGGAAACTGTGCATGAGCAAAAATCAGACGTTATGTCTTTCATGGATTTAAATTTTTATTTATGGGTTTTGAATACTCCTAGAAGGTCCAAGCTTGGCAGGGCTGCAGAACAAAAGCCTCTTTCTGCCAGCATAACCATTTTGAACCAGCCACCTGGAGGAAAAATACTCACTTCCTCTTCAGTGAGCCATCCATTTCCCCTGGATTGTGCCCAGGGTGTGCGTTATGTCAGTGACCAAATTAATCCCGGTATAAATCTGTCGTACTTGCATTCTGGATTCAACCACACAATGGCATAATGAATTATCTGCAATAGCAAATGATGGCATTTTCTGGCAAACTGTCAGCTTATGTATGTGCATAGGAAACATTTGTAGACTGGATTGGAGCAGACTAAAAAGTTTTTAATGATGATCGTGCCAGTTTTGGAGAATTTCTCTGCATTTGGGAATTTTGCAAGGAACTCTCAGCACTTCGGAGCTGCGGGAATGCTGTCAGTGTTCTTGTGTACACGGCATCTCTGCCTCCAAGGGAGATATTTTCTGAGAAGACAAATTTGTTCTTGCAGCTTTAAAAGACTCAGAGGGAGGCTGGAGGTTGGGATGGCATATGTGCAAAATTCAGCTGGAGGTTTTGACTTACTTTTAATGGATAGCTCATGTCTAGAACTGGCCAGCGAAGTGATACTGTGTCTTTTTCTGTTAGCCTTTCCACTCCAGTGTTATGTTACATCTGACATCACCCTCATTCATTCCATAGTACCCACAAAAAAAGACTTACATTTGAATTTCTTCCCCTAAGTGAGGCTTTTTTTTCCCTGTACAGTGATTGTCACTCATGTAACTTCCATTACAAAGGAGGCCTTTCAAGAGAAGAGATTCTTTGTTCTATTAGGTCCCTATATTTAGCAGTGGATTCATCTTAGGACAAATCGAGTTTGCATGGAGCCCCCATGACTCAAGATCTGATCTGGTATCTCCCAAGGAAGTAGGTTATTCTACCTGTGACATTTCAGGTGCTTCAAACTATAAGGATCCAGAGCTGAACATTTCCAGAGCATATGATCCAGATCCACCTGAGTTTATAACCAGACAAAACTGTTGGTGCTTTTCTCTAAAAGTGTTTAAGCAGATAAAAGCATCAGAAAAAACATCTCATTAAGAACACAGCAGCTCTGTTATTAAGCATCTTGCCTAAGGGCCAAATTGCTAGGACAGAGATCCCACAGAAAACAGGGAGAGCTCTGACTGAACAAGAGCTAAGTACTGATTTTAGCAGTGGAACCGCAACGTGTGAGACCCGGTGCTACTCAGCCACTCTCATATTCATTTCAAGGATGACTCAATAAGCTCAAATATTGCAATTTGTATTATTTTATGAGAGCTGGCAACACAGTGGAGATAAGAAGTCATTCTAGCAATATCTTAGCCCAAGGGATATCTTAGGACTATTGATCCATACAGTAGTTTAGTAAATGAGTAAATGAGTGACCTCTCCCATCCTGGAATCATAATCCATATAGGAAATTCATAGGGGAAGAGTCAGCATTCAGTGGGTGAAAAGAGGGAGTGTGAAAAACAGACGGACTATACTCTCTTCTGTGGTAGTAATGAGTGGATTGTCACACTGAATTACAGACTAAAATGGATGAGAAGGCCAGATGCCTCAAGAGTGAAGAATGAACGTTAACTTACCTCGGCTTTTCCTGCCGGTTTTCTTCCCCTGTGGGCGCCAGATGCTGGCAAGAAGTTGCAACAGTTGTCCAGCATGTAGAGTTCCCACGTCCATCCCCAAATCTGATCTGAGCAGAGGGCCTTTGGAGAAGAAATCATCTCCAGCCAGCTGGCTGAAGTTGGAAAGGCCCCACATATCTATTACCCAACAGTTTGAGTTCTGGTTTAGGAACTAAAGCAAGGGCTGAAGAAAGGGATTGTGAAGAGAACCACAGCTGGGGTTGTGTTTGATGGTCTGGGAGTGCACAGTGGGTTAGGGAGCCATCCATGCTAGCAGCAGAAGGCTCTCTTCCCCCTGCTGCCATGAGGTGGAAAGCAGAGAAAATTAGTTCTTTTCCTTAGTTATCTACAAATGTGCTAATTTTTAAGGGATGTGGTGCATCTACTGTACCATTGGTTAAGGGCTGCCTGTGTTTGTAGATACATTTCTTTCATTACCTCTCTCAAGAATTTCAGCAGTAAAAGCTTAGGCTGGCGCTAGCGGTCCTAATTGGGGGGATAGTAATACAAGCAACCGAATGTGCCAGATGTTCATTATGGATAAATCTGTTTACTGCATCAGGATTTAGGAATCATGTGGGTTTTTCCTCTAGTCTCAGTAAACGTACAATTGAACCACACTGGGTAACTACTGAAGATACGAAGCTTCAGGCGAGAACAGTAAGTGGTAATTCTTGTGGAGGGGAAGCTATGGAAGAACCATTTTCATCTTTTATGTGACCATCAAATCGTCGTTACCCTTTAAATGCCTTCAGCAGTGGTTGATGGGCAATGCGCCCACCAAATACGCCACGCTGTTTAGATTGCTCTAAACATACATTTAAAGAGTAGCATGCTTTTTAAGCAAAGGTTTGTTGGAGGGATGTTTCGCAAATAGGAAGTTTCATAGGCTTTCCAAAGTGAAATTTTCCTCCCTTATTTAACTCCGTGCAGCATCGTTGAAGCTATTTCATAGTGTTAATGTGTTATTTCATGCTGTTAATTTATATGAACAAGCTCAGCAAATAACATTCACTTCACTGGTGGATTTTTTTCCCAGAAATGAATATGCCTGTTCTCAGGGTAGCTCCACCAGCTACTAAGGGACAACTGACTGCAGAAGTTGTCACACTGAATCAAAACCTCTCTCACGCAGAAGGGCTTTTCTTCCAAGGAGGTATAAAAAAGAAAAAAAAGTGAAATACATCCTCAACACTCAAGTACACTGTCGGGCAGAGTTCGTATCTACGGTCCAGTGGTTTTCCCACAGATGAATGTCTGTGTGCAACAGTGTCCGGCATGTGTTCATACGTACTGGCTTGGCTGAAGGCAGCATGAGCAAGACTCAACACCTAGGCCAGACCCTTTACCAGGTTACCAGTTACTACAGAGTAAATTGGCCTTACATAAGAGAACAGCACTGAAATGCAGACTGTAAAGCTCAGGTATGTCACAATTTGCCTTAATCTGAAAGAATGTAGCTCTGTCAGCACTAGCGGTGGCCCTGATCCAAGGCAGGGACAGATGTCTGAGACAGGACTCATCACACCAAACTTGAGATGTTTACCTGTTAGACGGCTCCCTGTCAGAGCTAGTTAGCACAGCCTCCTTGTACAATCACTGGAGAGAAATAGGCACTTTTTAGGCACAATTCATACGACCTGTTATAGATGACTGTTTTCAGATTCAATGAGTTGCAGCCTAAAATAGCCTGTTTCCTCTTCTCTGACCTCAGACCCTGGCTCAGATGCATGTACGTTGTAGCTACCTACCTTTCACCTGATGAATCCCTTCCAATACATCAAGGGCAACCTATACAATAAGATTATTATTTCAAAAAGGGCTGAAACCCCAGCCCAGCCAGGATTAAGGAAGCACTCCCCATCTACAAGCTCGCCTCACTACCTGACCGTGTGGACCAGATTTCAACTACTAATGAGGCCTTCAGACTACTTTAAGCCCTCCTTTATATCCAATCTTTAAACCAATATTCCATTAGAAAGGGACTAATCTTAAAAAATAACAGGACACTAGTCTATTTGGAAGCAGCTCTCCCTAAAAGCAAGAAAGAGAGAGTGGTTGCTAATATGGCATTGTTCTTAGGGCTACTTGGACCTCGCAACTTGTTGCTGAAACACATCACTGCCTCCCACACCGGCCAGAAGACAAATACAGGGCAGTTTCATGGGATGTGGCTCCCAAGTTGCCTGAGTCACTCTCGCAGCAATCCCAGTACACCACTGTGTGTTCCATTCACTTCCACACGGCTTTGCTTGTCTTCAAGAAATTAGATTAGGGGGTGGTGTTGACAGCGGCCTGCTACGGCAGGAAGAGCTGAATAGAACTACACTAAATTAACCAAAGCAATTTATTTGTCTCACATGTCAAGGGCTGTGTTTCTCCATCCCTAGTTTTTCACACTAGAGATGGGTAGGTGGTGCTCCACCGTTCTGTCCTGGGCAGGGATGGTGGATGGATTAGCTGCAGTGGTCTTTGAATACATCCCTGAGCAAAGCTGGTGGGATGAGGGAAAGCCATCAGAAAGCTGAGGTCACGATGAGGCAAGAGAGCTGGTAGAAGCATTTTTCCCTCAGATTACCAGTTACTCTCTCTTGAGGGAGAGGGAGCAGCCCTCTCTCCACCCGTGGTGTGAAACATGAGTTTCCAGGAACTGGGGAGAGAGTCCTGAGGGGATTATCACATACGTCAATTCTGCAGTCAGGGGAGAGGAAGAGAAGTGACAGGGTTTTTTCCCACCCATGGATATACTTCATCCCAGTTGTTAGCACCCAGGAGAAGATGGTAGAGAAACATCATAGACACATCTAATCCTTTACTGTTCCCTGGGCAGTTGCTCCTGGCCACTGTCAGAGACAGGATCCTGGACTAGATGCTCTAACCCACGATGGTTGTTTTGTCTGTTCTTTGCTGCTGACAATGAGGAGGTCTCAGGTGCAACTAGGTCCTGCACATGCCTAAGGGACGAAGGCATGACCAGCACCAGTGAGTTCAGGCAAGTTCACTGGCCAGACCTGGGCAAGATGTGCTCCCTCCTTCCCACATGAGGAGCAGGAGCC